TGAAGGGGTCAGAGTAACATCTAAGATAAAACCACTGAAGGGGTTAGAGTAACATCTAGGATAAAATCACTGAAGGGGTTAGAGCAACATCTAGGATAGAATCACTAAAGAGGTTAGAGTAACATATAGGATAGAATCATTTAAGGAGTTAGAGTACCATCTAGGTAGAATAACTGAAGGGGTCAGAGTAACATATAGGATATAATCATTGAAGGAGTTAGAGTAACATATAGGATATAATCATTGAAGGAGTTAGAGTAACATATAGGATAGAATCACTGAAGAGGTTAAGAGTGACATCAAGGACAGAATCACTGAAGGGGAGAGCAACATCCAGGATAGAATCACTGAACAGGTTAGAGTAACATCTAGGATAGAATCACTGAAGGGGTTAGAGTAACATCTAGGATAAAATCACTGAAGGGGTTAGAGTAACATCTAGGATAGAGTCACTGAAACTGGTAGAGAAACATCTAGGATAGAATTCCTAAAATTGGTAGAATGAACGAACAAACTTTATTTTCAAATGGTAACAAATTAGGTACGCATGCCCGTCTAACATTCGGCCCTTCCAAACACCCATCTCTCATACAGCCATTGTATTTTATCAATAAAGCATATTATATTTATATGATAATATACATATTGTAAATATCAAGAGAAAACACAAAAGCATGGGTGGTAACATGCATGAACACATTAGCGCACTCACACACACACACACACACTAATAAACAAGGGTCCACCCACTTACTTAAATACGCATATATACACACCACCATACACCCACATACACACACCCACACAAATACATAAACACGCATACATACACACGCATACATACACACATACTTACATACAGATACACACATCCACACACAGACACAGACACACACGCAGACACAGACAGATGTGCAGACACACACGCAGATACTCACGCAGACACATACAAACACAGACACACACGTAGATACACGCGCAGACACACATTCACACAGGCTCACACACAGAAACACGTACATACACGCAGACACAGACAAACGTGCAGACACACTCAGACACACACGCAGACACATAGACACATATGCAGACACACACACACACAAACACACCAAGAGACATACACACATATATATACACACAGAGACACACAGACATAAACACAGACACACCAAGAGACATACACACATATATATACACACAGAGACACACAGACATAAACACAGACACACCAAGAGACATACACACATATATATACACACAGAGACACACAGACATAAACACAGACACACCTACACATAGCCACACACACACAAACTAACAGACACACACGCACATAGCCACACACACACAAACTAACAGACACACACGCAGACACAAACACAACAAAGATACACAAACAAACACACATGCAGGCACACACACAGAAACATTTACGTAAAATGCACAGACACACCTACACACAGACACACATGCAAACACACACAGTCACACACGCACAAATACATGCAGACACACGCATACGCACATAGACACACATGCAGACATCCACATGTAGACACAGACACACATGCAGAAACACACATACAAATACACACAGACATATACACACAGACACACTGGCAGACACATACACACAGTCACACATGCACAAACACACGCGTACACACCCACACACACAAACACACACACACTCACTAACAGACACATATGCAGACACACACACAGACATATACACAGAGAAACACATAAAGACACACAGACACACCCACAAACACATAGACACACACAGAAGACACTTATGCACACACATAGACACACACACAGACACACATACAGACACAAACACAGCAAGGGATGCAAAGGGCACACACACACACACAAACATACATGCAGTCACACATACACACATACACACAGTCACACACACACACATAAACACAAACAGACACACCCACACAGAGACACATTCCCACACAAACACACACAAACCCACAGTCACATGCACACGCAGGCAGACACACACACATACACAACTTATACAATTATCGATACACACACTTATACATACACAAATACACCTACAAATTCACAACATATATGTCACAGATACACACATACATACATAACATACACACATTTTTAAAATAATTTATAAATTGATAATGCAAAATGGAATAATAATTATATTTGCTGTTTGTAGGATGGGATTTAATTGGAAACGTTAGTTTGGTGTATGTTGAGATACAGTTTTATTAATTAATTTAGCCTTGTTGAAAATTAAATGTTTACTAAATGGCAGAAGTCTTAGATGGCTATAGAGATACTTTTTGTCTATATGTTCTCTATCTGAAACCAGGCGCAAAGCGTGATTTTGAAGGGAACTTAGTCTTTCAACATTAGATTTGGCACAACTATTCCAAAATATGGAACAACAGTTGACATGTATTTGGAGAGTAACATCTAGGATAGAATCACCGACGGGGTTAGAGTAACATCTAGGATAATCACCGACGGGGTTAGAGTAACATCTAGGATAGAATCACGAACGGGGTTAGAGTAACATCTAGGATAGAATCACGAACGGGGTTAGAGTACCATCTAGGACAGAATCACGAACGGGGTTAGAGTAACATCTAGGATAGAATCACGAACGGGGTTAGAGTAACATCTAGGATAGAATCACGAACGGGGTTAGAGTACCATCTAGGACAGAATCACGAACGGGGTTAGAGTAACATCTAGGATAGAATCACGAACGGGGTTAGAGTAACATCTAGGATAGAATCACGAACGGGGTTAGAGTAACATCTAGGATAGAATCACCGACGGGGTTAGAGTAACATCTAGGATAGAATCACCGACGGGGTTAGAGTAACATCTAGGATAGAATCGCCGACGGGGTTAGAGTAACATCTAGGATAGAATCACCGACGGGGTTAGAGTAACATCTAGGATAGAATCACGAACGGGGTTAGAGTAACATCTAGGATAGAATCAATGACGGGGTTAGAGTAACATCTAGGATAGAATCACGAACGGGGTTAGAGTAACATCTAGGATAGAATCACGAACGGGGTTAGAGTAACATCTAGGATAGAATCATGAACGGGGTTAGAGTAACATCTAGGATAGAATCACCGACGGGGTTAGAGTAACATCTAGGATAGAATCACCGACGGGGTTAGAGTAACATCTAGGATAGAATCACGAACGGGGTTAGAGTAACATCTAGGATAGAATCAATGACGGGGTTAGAGTAACATCTAGGATAGAATCACGAACGGGGTTAGAGTAACATCTAGGATAGAATCACGAACGGGGTTAGAGTAACATCTAGGATAGAATCATGAACGGGGTTAGAGTAACATCTAGGATAGAATCGCCGACGGGGTTAGAGTAACATCTAACATAGTCAATGAAGGTCACCATAGTGTGCAGCTCACCCCACCTCCTACCCATCCTTTTTTTTTTCAACTTTAGTCTATTTCCCCACCCTAAGTTATTTTTTAGGGGCTACCTTTGTTTCTTTGACAATATGGATTCTAGTGCAGTAACAGTCTAGCTATATTGTTGTCAGTTATTCTCAATGTGCGTCCTATCGAACAGCAGTGCCTTCTCCTTTACCTATAAATTCACTTGAATTTCTTTTTTTTATTTCTCTCAATGCTTTACATAAGTGATTCTGTCATGCCATGTAATTCCTTCTTTTCTGCAGAGACACCCCTTAACGAATGCTTATTAATTACTTTCATTGTTTATCTTGTGCAAGCAACTATACAATCATAAAATAAATAGTCTACTCCTGAAGCCATTTGCCGACCAAAATGCAGCATCTATATGTATGCCCGACATTGTATGGTAGTGACTCCTAATTCATTATAGATAGTACCAGACTCCTTACAAACTGCTATAATGAAATTAAACATCAATATTTCTGTATTTTCCCATGTATAAAGTTAAAAACTGCTGCGTCTTTTTATACAGTTAGCATCTACGTCTTAAAACATTTGCTGCGGGAGACGGAGCATCTATGGGTATGCTCGGTGTGCTATAATGTTAATTCTTAAATCAGTAATCAGTTTACAATAGAAATTTCTTATTTTTGTGCTTAAAGAATAGGAGTCGTCTTATATATGCGAACAAAGATCTTCAACCAACTCACGCCAAGTTGTCCTATCATCATCCAGCTCACCTCATGCCCCCCCCCCCCTTTTCCACCCCATCTTGTTTAACTTTATTCTCTAACGCCCTTCTGCTTGTTATATTTGGTGGGGGGGGGGGAGGGTGTCTGCTTTTATTTGTACGGCCTTGTGGCTTCCAGTGCAAAGATATTCTAGTTATACTGTTCTCAGATTTTCTCAACCTGTGTCCTATCCAATGCCAGTTCTTTTCTTCACCTCTTGATTCACTGAAAATGGTTTAGTTCTCTCCCAAAGCCTAATGTTAGTGATTATTATATCCTACCAGTGAATTCCCTTTAATGAATAACAGCACATGTTGACATAAAAGTTGTGGATTATTGTGAAGAAACAATGTGGCTAAAATACAATGTATGGCTAAATGATGTTAAAAGATGTTGTTTTGCTAAAAGATGTTATCTCATTATGTTGCTAAAAGACATTATGTTGTTAAAAGACATTAAGTGGACAAACGAATTATTTGGCCTAACGATGTTTTGACACTGAGTGGCTAAAAGATGTTATTGTTATTTAGCTTAAATAATGCCCCTAAATTAGTCAAATATTTTTCTAAGGGTGACACACTGCCAAATTGGTGGCCATATTTTTCACATTATGCAAGAAGTTAATCCGGTGAAAAAATGCTCGATGAAGTTGGATATTTAGGCTGAAAGGTCCAAATATTGCAGTTTTGCTGTAACAGGCACAACACCTCAAAAAGAAGAAAAAGAAGAATGGGGGGATTTATGATCAATGTTTGTGAAGACGGTACCTGACTGACTGACACTGACACACACCAGTTAATATAAATTATCCTACCTTTTGTTTTCACATTGGATCTGCTGCTCATTTTAGGCGAGCCCTCGATCTTCTCTCGATCTACGGCACTGTCCTTTATGAAATGTTCACGTTGCGATCTCTCTCGGTTAACACTAGCCATGTTTACAAATCCTAGGCGACGCGGCTCTCTTGGGTCGTGAGATTACTTGCAGTCCTGTAGCAGGGGAGAGAATGATTTTAATACAAACAAGATGAAAGTTGAACAATTATCCTCCCATATTTCCCCCAGACCCCATCGCATGTCCTTTGGCGCTGAAAGCTGGGAGCTTATGTATCTTGAGCCTCCCTACCTCAGTTATTATATTGTGTGTGCGTAATTGTTTGTTTACTCGTTTATTCAACAGATCAACCTTATGGCACACCGGTGTGACAAATACATAAGCGCTCCGTTCTACTTCAAGCTTAAGTGTGTAAAATCTCAACTTCTTCTTTTCAAGTATTTGTTTACACATTTTGTGCTATATACAGAATACTGTTATGTTTATTTACATTGAGTACTTAAAAATAACAATTTTCTTTCTTTCTGTTCACCGACTGTGAATTCCGGCGGAAAGTCACGGTTGTTCGTCCATTTGAACTTTGTCTTTGTACCAGGACCTAAGTTTTGAGCGTACATCCGTTTTACTTGATTATTTATGACCAGTTCCTGTTCCCTGTCTCTCGGGCAGATGTATTCCGACTTCGAAGGAAATAACGTTAATAGCATTAATCATTCACCGTCCTTTTTAGGATGAAATTTTTCGTTATTTGAAGCCCCACCCTGGCTCTTGCCAGAGGCCGCAATATAGCCAGGACATAAATATGGCCATTAGACTGAACGCGGTTTCTGGGACCTCTCCACGGTGATCCTCATCCACATGGTGGCACATTGTGTTATCGGGTGTTTATCGCTTGTGTGATGTCCTGGTGGGGTAGAAAGTCAGTCAGTCAGTAATAACATTATCATTATTATTATTATTATTATTATTGCACACTTGTACACAGTTTAAGGTCCCTAAGGCTTTTTTTAAAAAAAGCTAAACTCGAAAAGTTCCAATCTGGGTTCCCGCTCCCATTTTTATGCAAGACTGAATAGACCCACTGCCCACTAACATCATCAATCAGCGATCCTTAACAGAAGATCGCCCTCGCCTCATTATATCTTAAAGTTACTCTTTCTCCAACCCTATGTGCTTTTACAGCTAATGCATCTGCGTTTACTTCAAGCCCCTATCAAGCATGTCGTAAAGGGCGACTTTTTATGAGTTTTTTTTTAAAAGTCAGAGTGCATATGTCTGAGAGGCGAGGAACCAATAATTTGCAGATAAACTAGATCTGTAAAACGGATTTGCAAGACCTAAGTTTGATAGATTACCCACCACACGGTAGGTAATGTGATCAACATAACAGCGGTGGTCAGTACTTTACCTGGTACCCATTTTAAGCTGTGTCGACATAGAGACTAATGTAAAAAAAGGACAACTGACATGATGATGAATGAAGCCACGACCGTAGCAAGGTGATTTCGCTCACAGGCGTGAGGCAGTGTATAATGTGATACTTCGTTAATCAACTCGGGTACCAGAAGGCTCTGTGCAGGTTTTACGGATCGCTGTGTAAGAATCCTGTCACACGTCCTGGTCTTGCACCGCGGATAATAGATATCGATCTAAACAGCGTTGTCAGGGGATCTCAGTTTGTGGCACCCAGATATGCAGTGTCCAGAAACCACCTAGCTCTCATCAGCTTACCCCCCCCCCACCCCACCCCCAACCAACCAACCCCCCCAATGTATGGGTGATAACGTCTATCAAAAACTCACAGGCGTACGGCAAATGTGAATAAGGTGTATAAGATATACATACATGTGTGTTAATGTATGCTAGGTGATTTCGCTCACAGGCGTGAGGCAATTGTGTATGAGGTGTATAAGATATGCATGTGTGTGCGTATGCAAACACGCACACATGCATTTCCTGGTGTGTTATGCAGACGTGTGTGTTATGTACATATGTGTAATTGTACATGTGTGTCTGTATGTGTGTGTGGGTGTGTATAGTGCATACCAGCCCCCCCCCCTCCCTAACAACCCTTATTAGGTACTAGAGTAGCTGTTCAAGCCCCACGTTTTGATGCAATTAACATTTCTTAGCCAACGTAACTGGTATACACAAAACAGACCACAATTATAACCGATACTGCTTGCAGTAGGGAGCCGCCGTAGTCTAGTGGCTAGACGCTCAGCTGCGGATCGGAAGGTCGTGGGTTCGGTTCCTGACGAGGGCCATGATTTTTTTCAAAAATGACTGGCTCGCAGGTGGAATCAGCCTTCAGTGAATACCAGGTACAGTCCTGGGAATTAAAGGCGGTCGGCGTGATGCTGACCACATCACCCACTAAGGGCCGTTTGATCTATAAAATATAGGCGTAGCCCTATATACCCAGTACGTCGGAAAGGCGTGGAAAAGGGTCCTTTACTTTACTTGTACTGTTCGCAGTAGGTTGAACGTGGTCGATTTTTTGTTTTGTTATTCATAAATGGATACATGGATGAACTGTAAGGTTATACTAGAGTTCCCATCTGCTGCCTGTGATTGTGGAGCAGAGAGACAGACCCCTGAGCACATACTGCAGTACTGCCCTTACCTCTCCCAGCACAGACTGTGGATCTGGCCCAGGGGATCCACATTGCGAGAGAAGCTATGGGGGACCGGTGGCGACCTTAAACGCACAATCCTATTTTTGACCCAGACGGGACTCAGTGTGTAGCATGACTGATGTCGAACGCAGAAGAAGAAGAAGAAAATACTAGAGTTCCCGACGATTACAACGTGTGGGTTCCGGGGATCCATTGTGGGGGAAACAAGTATAGACCCACTGCCTGCCCACAAGCATGTCGTAAGACTCGACTAATTGGGAATTTCCTTCAAATTCAGAGTACATCTGCCTGAGAGGCAGGAAACTAAAAGTCTGCATGCAAATGAGTCAGACATATGAAACGGATGTACACGCAACACTCAGGTTCTGGAACAGGACTGGATTCCAGAAGTGAACGAGCAGCCAGAACTTTCCACCGGAGTTTGCAGTTGGTGAACGCGAAGAAGAAGATATTGTGAGGGCCCTTTGGGAGTGAGTGAATAGTGCAGAGGCGCAGATAAATCGTTACGGTCTGAGGAGAATGACGCTGCGAGGAGTTACCAGGGGATCTGGCCGACGCTCAACACTCAGGGGAAGGATGAGACTGCTATACAATCAGACGGTTACTGGTTCTATCAGAATTGGAACTCTTTGCTTGCTGCTGAAGATGGGGATGGAGCACTTAAGGGAGTGTCCCGAGTGCTATGATGTCGATTCTTAATTCAACATTCAAATGGCATTCTCTGAAAAGAAGTCCATCTACACACACACCCAAAAACTCGACCACGTTCAACTTGCTGCTAAACAGCCGAAGCGGCCAACAGTCTCCGGTTATATTTGTGGTCTGGTTTATTTGCGCGACTTCCGTGGCTAATGTATTCTGTGAAAAAAAAAAAACAACAACCAATTATCACATTTATAAATTCGTCCGCCGGAAGAAGACTCTTGATGACGTCATTTTGCAGATTTATAAAATGTGAAACAAGCCTCGACCCCTGCGCGCATGCGTAGAGGGCATGGCAGCCTGCTGGAAGATTCTAGTGTGTTCTGTCTGGTCGTTCTTTATTTAAAACATTTATTGTCCTTGTCGACATTTGGAGACTTCAGTTTACTTCTACAATACATTTTCATTTTAACTGCGATTGAAGACGAATACGGCACAAAGCGATTGTTTTTGAGTTGTAAGTTTATCCTTTGGTTGTATTTTAAAGTGAAAATGGTGAATTAATTGTAAAAATATTACTAAAATTTGATCAAAAATGAAGTGTCAGTTAGCAAGAATGAGACTCACATGAGGAGACTCATGAGACCATGAGCACGATTGGATTGAGCTTGATGTTAAATGTCGGTTTCTCATAATAGTGATTGTATTGTTTAATTTTATATTGACATTGTAAATTATAAAATGCATTAGCTTAGCCAAGGCAGTTTAATACTTTGTCTATTTTACGGTTAAATTAATGTGTTATATATATTAATTGATAATAATTGTTCTTAAAACTTGAAAGTTATCGGCTTTCATGTAATTAATAATTCAAATATCAGAAAAGGAGTAAATTTACTAAATTTGATAGGCAGACTGTGATGAGAGCGACGTTCTGCAAAGGACCTGCTACAATATGATGATGAAAGAGTGAAAGAACAAATTGGATGGTGTGAATTGTGGTTAGACAAAAATATCTGGAGATGTAAATAATAAACGTATGTAGGGAAGATTCAAAAGATAATTTATTATGTAATTATGCAGTAATTGATTGTAATGTAAACTACACAATTTCAGTCATTAACTTTGACTTTAGTAATATGTATGGACAGTTTTGATCTTGATTCATAGTCATAATGAATCTCAGGCTTTGAAAAAAATCATACATAAAGTTTGAAAAGCTCTTTCCAAAAAGCGGTACCTCTTTCATGCCTGTATGTCAATTCTAAGCCAAGTTATTGAAGTTTTTGTGGAAAAAATGAACAAAGAAGAAAAAATAAAAGTGAGATAAAACTTGTCGCCTTAAAATCGTAAGTCTTAGAGGAGTGTTTAAAAAGTGCTTTTACTTAAAAAGTATTTAAAAAAGACCCTAGAAACCATATATTTTTGGATTCGGGACAACAATCTCTAACTGAATAAAGATGAAATTTTTAGTAGTTACGTAATATCAACTAATAATTGACTAATAATTATTCAAAATGGCCGCCATTTATCATAATCATTACTCAATATGTTCTTATAAACTTTATAACGGTCTTTACATTTTTTTTTCCTTGGTACGTTTATTGGAAAAAGAAAAAAAGCTTTAAATGTGCTAAAGACATAAGCACATGTCAAGCTCAAATTAGAACTAGGTCGCTTATTGAATATTTATATTAATTAATTAATTTAAAAATTTTTTTTTTTTTTTT